ACCAGAAAAAGGAGACAAAGCTTTTGACATAGAAACAGTAATGGTTGGCTTGCAAGTTTAGCATGAAGTCTAGATTTTCTGCTGGTGTAGATGAAGACCAGGCTGCTGTTCCAAGCAGGAGCTTAGGGATGGGGTTCATTAGATACTCCCCAGGTTTTTTTCTTCACAGGCAAAGGTAGATGCTGTCCAGCTTCCAGGTTGCTCTTCAGGAGGGGCATGGTGTCTGTACAATGGTCTGTGAGCTTTGCTGAGGCTCGTGGTGGTGCCAGTTGCCTGATCCCTGCAGCATCTCTCATCAGTTCTGAAGGGGTTTTACTCAATCTCCTCCTAGCTCTATTTTGGAGAAGCAGCTCTGAACTTTTCCACCATCAGACACTCTCCAAAGGAGCTTCTGTCCCCAGGGCAGGAGTGGGGGGAGGAAGTGCCCCCTTGGGGACAGGTCCTGGTTTTTTTTACTGTGCTCACAGTGTGTTCTGGAGACCTTTGTGGTTTGGAAACTCCAAACCTCAGTGAGGTATTCCTTTGAAAGAGGAGCAGGTGGTCTGGGAATGTGCAGAGCTGGGTCAGGAAGACTCATTTAAGCATGTCTGTGTCAACTGACCAAAAGGGACAGAGTAAGGGTCCCCAGGTCAGCTTTCCTGGCGGGTCAGGGACATGCCTGGCACCTGCACTAACGAGCTGCACGCTGTGTGGTGTCCTCAGCAGTGCTCTGGGCCTGGCCACACAAACTGAAACTGCAGAGGTGGAATGCCTTTGTGGCTTTCCATTGCAGGTTTGCCATTTTAATGAAGAGCTTTCAGGTGCCCTGAAGTTACTGCTTTGTCTCTCAGTTATTGGGTGATGAATTCTTGCTGCACCAAACCAGAAAAAAACTGAGGTGCAGCTCTGTGCTGTCCCTGCCAGTGGAAAATGCAGTGCAGGAAAGTGTCACTGCTGTTATTGCTGTTGTCACATTTGGCTGCTGGTTGGATTTGAAGGAAGGAGTATACAAAACTTCCCCTTGGAACAGCACCCAGGGGTGCAGGCAGGTGAGTGCTGCTTGTGGCTGTAGGCAGAAGCAGGAGAGCTTTTTGCTGGCTGCTTGCCTTACAGAAAATAAGCTTTTGCCTTCTGACAGTCCAGCTAGCACAGAGCAGTGTTTGCTTCCTGTAATGTCAGTGAGAGGTGGGGCTGAGCAGGAAATTGGTGCTCTGAATGACTTCTCCATAGACTGCTCCTTGCCAACCGAAATTATGCTTTAAGATTTTATTTTTACCATTATTTTGTCAAGCCTGCAGGAAATTCACCATTTCCATTATTTCCACAAGCTTCACTTGGCACTTACTGTGTGAAGTCTGTGAATCCATAGGATCAGATCAAAGCTGTTCCCTTTGACCATCTGAACTAGAAACATGCCAACTGTGAGGCATTATTTTTAAATTGCCTGTAAAAAATTAAAAGGATTTCCAAATATTTTTAATAATTCCCTAAAACAGTCTAAGGACATCTGTTAAAGTACTGAATTTCCCAGAAGACAGCAGTAGTTGGGATTGCTTCAGCTGCAAATTAAGGTTGTCAGTCAAAGGGCTTTTTCTGTTTCAGTCTCTGATCTGGGAGTTTTTAGCATCTCTTCCAAAGTGAGCCAAAGAAAGACAGCTAGTGAGCTGTTCTGGCTTGTTTTGCCATGTGTTTAACCTAGCAAACAGTAAGTTGATACCTTTTGTGAAGTCTTCTGTATTTTACTGGATACCTCTGCTTGGTGAGGAACCAAGCTATGCAGTTTTGACATATTTTTTCACTTTTCATATTCTTTCTTCTGCAGCATGTGTGCCATGTTTTAATATATTGAGTATCTGTGGCAAGCGCTATTGTGTGTCTGCAAACGTTTGAATTATATTAAGGCAGTGGCTCTGCTAATGAGGAGCTGGAGTAAGAGGCAGAATGATGTATTTACTCTCCAGGATTCCCTGCAGAGATGAATAGTAGGTTCATGGTGAGCTAAAAGGACATGACCAGCCCAAAAAGTGTTTAAAAGATGTGCTTGTTTATTGCATGCTGATATTCCAACTCCAGCTCCATCAAGGGCTATGACAGTTTATGAAAATATAGCTTCTCTACATAACTGTTTTATGGTGGTGCTGATGCCATACTGATTTAGATTTCCACCTGCTCATATGCATCAGAATACTTCATTTTGTGTCATGGAAACATGAAAGTGTAAGAGAAGGGGAAGGCTTTGTCTTTTCAGTTGTAAATCCTAACTGGCTTTTAAAGCTTTCATTATTTTGTTCTGTGTGATTGAAAGAAGCTGGCATCATCACCAAGCTTGCAACAGAGGAAACTTTTTTTTAATGTTCAGTGTTTAAAAGATGTCAATGTTATTTCCTTTGTAAACAGAAGATGATGGATAGAAAATCTGCCGAGTTTTCAGCAAAAGGGAGTAATTTCTTTAGTTCTTTTTCATTCCTTAATGGAAAAAGAATTATGGAAATGAGAACAGGCATTGCATTAAGTGCTTCCAATGTTCTTTCCCTTCAGACCAATAAAAACATACCTCCTCCATTAGGGAAATTTAGTTTTTTGAAGCCTGTGTGAATTTGAATTCTGAATGAGTGAATGAGATGACTATGCTGGGGTAAACATTTCCAGGTCTGATTATCTATTTTAAGCCTTTAGCCTTTTCTAGATGGATACCAGCTCTTTCCTTGTCTTGTAGGTCTTCTTCAGAGCAATTCTTTCTGTGACTTTTTACATTGGCTTATCTTGTAGTTCCTCTGTAGTGCAAATTTCATATTACAAAGAGCAGCAACAGAGTTTTCAAAGTCATGGGAATTGAACTATTTTCTTGCCTGATTGTGAACTAGAGTTCCTGGCTTTTTCAAAACACTCCAGCTGCTTGAAAACTCCATAAGCAAAATTCAAACAGTACAAGTCAAAAAAAAAAAAAAAAAAAAAAAAAAAAAAAAAAAAAGACTTTTCTGTGCTTCCTATGGTGTGTTTATAGTAGCTATAGTCTCACCCATAACTATACATTATGCAGATTGTAGCTGTCTACTTTTAAAAATACTCTTTATGTGTAAGTGGGAAATGGATATGCAGCAGTAAACTGCTGTTCCTGGGTGTGTTCAAATCAAGTCCCTGAGCAGGGGGGATCCAAGTGAAGCCATATTTTGTCTCTCAGCTGTTAACCATAAAATAGTAATAAATAATCAGCATTCATTTCTGGAAGTTCTAGAAGATAACAAAAATTAGAGAAGAGGAGAATCATTACAAGTCATTACCACTGATCCTTATTTATAAATTACTAATCATAATTCAGTTTTATATACAATAATACTTAAGGTGCCAGATACATTGCAGAGGTATAGAAGGATGATTTGTCCTCATGTAGTGCAGCGGGGGACAGAGGCACCAAGAGCTTCTGAAACTTTTCCAAGATCCGGAGATGATTAAGTGGAATTATTTTTTTCATTATAATTTTTATTTAGTTGTAAATAGTCTTGATGTAGCCAAAATGTTCTAGTTATAATTGATGAAATAAACCCCATTTTACTCTTTATTGGTGAAATGTTGCCCACGGGAACATGATGCAAAAACAGTGAAGGCAACAAATGTAATTACTGTGAATATTTGGTCATGTGAGGCTGGTTTTGTTTTAGTTTTTTGAGGTTTATTTTCTGAAAACACTGGTGGGAATTGTTTGTCCATCACTAGAGTGTTCCCTGAAGGCCCAATCCACCACAGGACTCCCAGGAATAATTTTTGTGTTCCTGTTATATTTTATACGCAGACAACTTAGTCCTTCTGCCATGATCCAGAAAAACTGGCATCTATGAAAATATTGTGTTCATTACAAATTCAGGAGGCAAGGAGAACATGCCTGACCCACACAATTCTCTGTTCCCACCCTGATTATTCATTCCTAATGTAAAAATTTTGAAATGCTGGGAAAAGACATTGGACATAAAAATTTTCAGTTTCTTGCTGATTTTAAGTTGAAAATTTTTCAACTTCTTGCTGTTTTATGTCCTCTGCCTATCCTGTGTCTCAGTCAATTGATTATGTGATGAATTTTCTCAGTCACTTGATGAATTTGATCGTAATGCCTGCTTTAGGCATTATGAAGAGATGCTGGTGGTGAATCTCCACCTCTCACATTTGATTTCTGGCTGATTTGATTTGTGGTCACCCCGTGCTGGTGCTGTGGGTGGCTAATAGCCCCTGAGGAGCCAGCTGTGCAGGCTGGGGCTGCCTGTGGAGAACACGAGCTCCCCGGTGCCTCGGCTGTGTTTGCACACAGCAGCAGCCAGATGGTTGGAGCTGTGGGTTTGCTTTGCCTTCACTCTGCAGGAGAAATACCTGAGATGGATGTTGCCAGGTCGCAGCGTGGCTCCTGTGTGTTACCAGCTGCTCTGGCTCTTCTCTCAGAGGTGTGCTTAAAGCATTACAATGAGAAATTGGTGGAACTCTCTGTGGTCCAGTGGGAAGTGGGGAAGAGTTTGTCCTTGTACTCTGCAGAGCCGGTGGGATGGGTCTGGTCACGAGCTGGCATCCCAGCCCACAGTGTGGTAGGGAAATGTGCCAGATGCTTCACAAGTGCTTTGAGATCAAAGGCACTCTCCACATGTAAATCACATTTTCTCCTCTCCAGCATGGCTCGCTCACTTGATGGGCACACACTGTCACCCACTGGAGTCATCAGATGCTGTAATTTTTTAGATTTTCCTCTGAAATGCACTGCTGCAGTAAACCACCCTCCTGAAACACCTTTGGGAAGCTTAGGCCAGGTCCCATATCACCTTTTAAAATTACAGGTTGGTTGTTAGAGACAATCATCCCTAAAGCATGGCCAGACAGAGCTGTGGTGTCCACTCTGGGCTTATCCTGGACAGGAGGAGTTACTGCAGGGCAGGTGCACCCCAGCCATGCCCCAGCTCGGGGTCAGTGCTGGGCAGAGCTCCAGCTGTCTCACCAGGCAGCCATCCCCATCTCACACCCTTGGTCTCGTGGTCTTGTTCCAGGGCAACCCACTGTACTTCCAGTCCGCCAGGAACGTGACCGTGAACATCCTCAACGAGAAGACAAAAGTCCTCACTCGCCTTGTAACAGGTAAGGAGGGGGAAAGGCTGCTTGGAGGGATTAAGGAGGGATGAAAGTGCATGTTTTGGGATGCTGTGCCAGCTTCAGACAGCGCACAGAAGGGAGTCTGGGTGTTTTGTGGAGTAGAAATGAAAACTTCACTCTGTTGAAACAAAGGCAGAGACAGGAAAGCTGTGCTGGAGAGGCAACTGGTTGGGGCTGTCTGACAAAGAAGCAGAGCATCATTTTCATCTGAAAGCCAGTCCAGAGTTAGGAATGTCTGTTGTATGACATCAGGGTCAAGAAGAACATACGCCAGGCTGACATTTCTGTTGTAACAAGCACAGGTTTTTCCAAAGACATTTATAACTGCCTGAAATCTTGGGAACTCTGGAGCCCAACTGTGGCAACAGTTTGCAATTTAAAGTCCGTCTGCTGATGTAGAACTCCCTTTGCACCCAAACAAGAGTGTGTTGGGTGGGGAAATGAGTGTTTTATAAATCCCCAGGGCACAGCAGCTATGAATGAATGCAGGAGTAATTTGGGTTGAAAGAGCCTAATGCATTATATAAAGAATATGGCATTGTATATATGGTATAAAATACATATTTGATATGGGACAGAGATATACTTACTGAGATTTATGCATGGACTGTCAGAAATACTGGTGTGTGGCGAGGGCAGTAATCCATAAACATGTTTCTAAGTTGAGACTGGGTTGCTTGGTTTGCTTATATAACATCTTGGCCTTTAGTCACAGTATTAAATAATTAAATATGCAGCTTCAGTGAGCAATTATTTAGGCAGCATGTGTGAAAGTTGCCTGGAGGAAGGAAATAAATTTGACCCCCAGGCTCCCTGATTTTCACATTCAGAGGGAAGGTCTTCAGTTTGTTGGCTCTTTGTGTATTTTCAAGAGGGTGTTTGGTTCACTTAAGCACCTCTGTGTCACGAGACTTTGGGACTCAGTGATACCTCCCAGTGTGATGCTCTGGTTATTGAGCTTTTTATGCATTCAGCACCAGCTTTGGTTTCACACTGGAGCAAAGATGTGGTCCCATGTTGTGCCTACTGCAAGGATGAGTGGGGAGGTGGTTAACAAGCAAGACACAAATCAGATTTTTACTGGATTTTCTCAGTGTGGCTGCACGAGTTTTTAAGTATTTCCAGGGATCTCAGCATGGTCTCACTTGTCTGAAGTGCAAACCACCTGCATGATTCTCTGTGTCCAGGTGCCAGCACAGGTGACCTGTGCAAGGAAATGCTGGGTAGGGATGGAGTTTTTTAAGAAAATACTGGCTTTCAAGTGTTATTTCTCTTTTGAGAAATGAGACTGGTCTTGAAGATGGCCGGAATTAATGCAAAGTCCAATCACCTGCCTCGTGCAGGGTGATATTCCAGGAGAGCTGTGGTTTAGATGGAATTGGGAGGGCTGATGAGTGGTGAATTGTCCAAAGTCTGGCCTAGGTCAGTAACCCAGGGCAGCCTCTTTGTCACTCCTGGCAGCCTTTGAGCCACAAACCTGCACAGAATGTCTGTTTAGGCAGCTGATGTTTATCAGCCTCCACAAGAAATCACATTGCCAGAGGCTTTCCAGCACTGTAGGGCACAGCAGCCTGCAGGAAAAGCAGCAGAATTGAAATAAGATCTTCAAAGGAAAGTTTTACTTGTCTAAAAACTTTCTGCAGTGTGAGAGGATGCCATTTTTCTTGGCCTGCACATGATTGAAGGAGTCTAAAACAAAACATTTGCTCCTGTGCTGGTATTTGTCTTTTTTTTTTTTTTTTTTTTTTTTTAATTGGGCTGTGCATGACACTGATAGAATTTTAATCCAGGTATGTTTAAAAGCTAGAAAACCAGGAATCTTTTACACAGCAGCATCAGTCCAAGCAAAAGGGGCCCAGGAGCTCTTGATGCCTCTTACACCTGCACCAATACTCTCAAGGCATGGCTGGATATGTTCATTGCTGTTTCACAGATGGGTCTGTCTTTTAGTAAAAATATCCCAGCTATCCCAAGTTCAATATAAGCATTATGGCACATATAAGCATTACAAAAGCATAAGTAGAAATAGTTGAGCAGTTGTTACTTGGGTAGAAAACTGCCCTTTCCTAATAAGATCTAAAAAGCCTCTGTTTGGTGTCTCTGATGCAATTTGTTGAGCTACTATTACTCAGCAAATGGGTTTATTGAATGTATGAAGCTACTGTGTGATTTTCTTACACTTTTCACTAAAGTAAAGCTTCTTCCCCTTAGGTCCCCAAGCAGTGGAAGCACACAGCCAAAAATTTGAGGTGAAAACCCTCTCTGGAAAATTGCTGTTTTCTGCAGATGACAACGAAGTGGTGGTTGGAGCAGAGAGATTGAGAGTTCTAGGTAAGAGATTGTTCATTAAGCCACAGTTTTAATATGCACCTCTTCAAGTCTGAGTATAGTTTTGCCTGACTTTCCTTCCTACTTACTGAAAGCTTCTTTTGGAGATAAAACCTTCTGCTGTCTTTATGGCTTTGAATCTTCTCCAAGCAGATAAAGGCCAGGAGTTTTGGTGGGAGGGCTTTCTTGACCTGCACAATTTGTTCTTTTCTTTCCCCTCCAGAAAAAAACTCCCCTGGAAATGGTTTTTCTGGCAGAGTGAAATACCTTTAAAACCAGTTTTGGAACCTGAACAACTTTTATTTCTTGGATCTGGGGTGGAGGACAGTGAGGGGCTGCCCCAGGGATGTGCCCCTGTCTGCAGTCACTGTGCAAAGGGAAACCTCAGGGTTCATGGTTTGGTGCCAGCACTGTCACCAGCTCCTCCTTCATTCTGAAACAAACACCAGGAGGATCTGCCTCCCCAGCTGTGCTGCCTGCCAGGCCTTATTCCTAATGAAGTAGGAATAAGTGGTATTTTCCAATGAAAACCGGGGATAAACTCTGGGTTTGGGGTGTAGGGGTTCTTTCTTATTTCTTTGGATTTTTTTTTTGTCATTAACTGGAGAAACAAAACAGTTGTGGCAATTGGAAATTTTGAAGCTTATTTGATAGTTATATAAAATTAACTGTCTGGAACTTGAATTTTTGGGCTCCCTAGTTCAATCCAGGCTCTTTGCTTAGTCTGGGAATTGAAGTCAAGTCTGGGATTTGATCAGGAATGTTTTCACACAGGGCCAGAGTGGGTAGCTCAGTCACACAACAGTGCTGTGGTCTCTGTGGAGGCACCAATATCTGTTTTATAGTGACTTGCTTTGGATACATCTTTTCATTCCAAACGGTTCCTTACTTCAATTGTAAAAACAGATCAATAAGGAGCTTGGAATTATATGTAGATATAGATAGTATTTTATTATTATTGTTACTATAATTTCTATCTATTTAATAGTATATTATGTATAATATAAATGGGACTTGGTATCCACCCTTAGCATTTTTTGCTGCCTGATGTCCTGCTGTTCTGGATGGTTCCTCTTTGGGGACAGGGTGGGTGTAGCTCTCTGCAGATCACTGTTGTTACACACTGGACTAGTTCAGTCACCAGCTATAAAAAGTTAGGCGGGCTTCACAGGATAAATGTTGAATTTCACAGAACTAAGAGTATCTTCGTTAGCTTAGAACTTCAAAGAGGCCCATTCAAAATTCTTGTGCTGGGGACATTTGTAGCAGTCCCCTGTTCGCCAACAAAGCTCCCTTCACACTGCACCTTTCAGAGCTAGTTCATGCAGGGATCAACAGTTTTTAAGTGTTTTCTTGGAAGCCTTAAAATAAGAGAGATTTACATTGTTGGTTAAAAAAAATACAGGACCTTCTCCTTACAAGCTGCAAGTACTCCTTTTCAGATTACACACTTAGAAAAAATTGCTTTTAAGTTCCTCTGTACTTTCAAGAAACCAGGAATTAATTTTGATAGCTGTTTTGAGTTTCTGTCTTTTTTTACTCTCCAGAATAAACAGCATCAAAAATCTGCTGATCACTGTAGTGCACTTTGATTTTTACCTCTAACTGAGTGTTTCTCGAGGTTGGTTTGACTTTTGCAGATCTATCAGAAAACAAAAAATAGAAGGATACTGCTGGTGATGTTACATAGCAAGTATTCCAATGACCTTGAGCTGAAATGCTTTCTGAGTTCATTCTTGGCTTTGTTTTTCTCCAGCTTTGCTTCCCCAATCTAATTTTATCTCCAAAAGTGTTTGCCGTGGCTGTTTGCCATGCTGGGAAGTGTTACACCATATGTTCGTGTTTCTTGCAGTGTTTTTGTCTGCTATGAAGGCCAGTCCGAGTTGCAGCACACAGACAAATTCCTTTGATCATTCTTCTGGTGTTTGGGCTCTCAGGTGCTGCTGGAATGTGTCTGCTGACACCCATCTAGGCCATGTAAATAATTTCAACTTGTTCTTTTTATTACTGAACAAACACTTCTTGTGGAGGCAAGTGTGTGTCAACAGCCTGGCATGAAAGTCATCCCACAGAGGTCAGAGCAGCAGTTCTTGTGGCCAGCTTTGAATATTGCCAGAGACAATAACTCTTTTCTTTGTGCGGACTCCAAAGTTTTTTTCTGGGAGTTTGTGCTACAAACCGATGCTGAATCCTTGTGCTGAGAAAAGAGGTGCTCTTCTGTTTTGAAATGAACCCTGCTCTGGGTATCTAGAGGATTTTTCAACATTAGCAAGGGATAAAAAAGGGGAAGAATACACAGAATTATAGATTAAAAACAAATGCAAGTAGGACTTACGATGCATTTGATGGTGCTTCAAAAAACTGCGCAGCATGGGCAGTGCAGATTTCCATATGAAAGTGCTTTTTATTTGATTTGTATTTTGGGGAGTTATTTCTGATTTATGAGCATTAAAGGACACAGAAAGACAGAGCTGGCCACCTCTGCTTTTCATGTATGACGTAATTTAGAGTACTTCAGTGATTTTATTTGATATAGTGAACCCAGTCAAACCTGTCATCACAGGAGAGGCAGGAGGATGGCAGGAACTTCTGTCTGAGGGGAAGGGCAGATCTGAGCCCTGTGGCCATGGTGAGCCCTGGTAACACTGACAAGGGTAACACTGACACAACCTTGTTCGGCCACAAAAAATCCCCTCTGCCTTGCTCAGGTTGGGAGCTCAGCACTGCCTGGGTCGAGATAACCCTGAGGGAGTTTGTGTTTGCCTGCAGGAACCCTATAAAAACTGAGCCCTACAACGACTCCACTCTGCTCTTTTACTTCTGAGCTCCTCTGCCAGTGCTCTTATGCTGATGGGATGGGATGGGATGGGATGGGATGGGATGGGATGGGATGGGATGGGATGGGATGGGATGGGATGGGATGAGGTGGGAGCACATTCTCACTCTTAGCATCCCTTCCCTCCCCAAATGGAACTGGAGCACCCCATGGTGTTTTGAAAGATCCCATGGCAAACCTCAGAGCTGCTCTCCTTCCCCAGAACCTCAGCTCTGCCTTGGCAGGGCTTGGATTTCTGAAGGCAAAGCCTGCCCCTTCTCTGCCCGTGGTGGCCCTGGGGGCTGTGTGTGTGGGGTGATGTGCAGCCTTCCCTGCAGCCCTCGCCGTGGTCAGCAGAGCTTTGGGCAAACCCCACAACTCAGAGCTCACGCCTGGCTGGAGCCCCTGAGGGCTCCTAACACAGACCCTGGTAGGGGAGATAAATGAGCTGCTCCTAATTGAATTTGTATTTGCTGCCTCGTCCTTCCTCCCTCCCTCCCTCCCTCCAGAAATTAAACGTGTCCAGACCATCTGAAAAACAGGGTGTAAGAAACACTCTTTAGTTAAAAGAGTATTAAAAATAACTTTGATGTATATTAATTACAATTTCATTTAATAGCTTATTGAACGTTATAGCATTTATAAATAAAAGACAGTCATAAAGCATTATTCTGACTGTTAATTAGCTCTATTTATTCTCCAGATTAGTTTTTAAATATGCCCTCTAGATGCCACTTGATACTAATTAACAGAGTTACATTATTATCTCTATAGAAAGGCATTTTTAATTAAATCTAAAGCAATTTAAATTAGCATGAGTTTTTACAGAAATTAAACTCTGGTCAGATGCTTAATTTAGCCTTATAAGACAACATCTGATGACATGCCAGTGTCAGTTCTCCCAAGGGCCTTGACATCTTTTTTATTTCAGACTATTTTTTGAAGTTTGTTTTCAGGGAAACTTGCCACTGTACTCTGGTGTTTAATATTTATGATGGATTTAACCAATTTTTTTGAAAGCTAAATGTTGATGGGAATCCACATGCATTGCAGTGAGCTGAGATAATACCACAAAAGCCACACTGCTGCAGCTTACAGGAGTCTGGCAGTCCCAGGGTTTGTGTGGGAGGTGGGATTGTATGGGCTGGATGTTGTTCCCTTACAAACCTACCAAGCTTTTTACCACTGTTAAAATTACTATTTTGCTTTCCAACAAGGATGGGATTAATCACAGCCCCACAGGGTCCCTTCTCTGTAACAGAACAATACAGGGATTGCTCCCCCTCCTCAGAAAATGTCTCAGACATTTTGGATTAGCGTGGCAGAAGCTTTTCTTCTAATGGAGCCTAATGATAAAGATTTGGCTAAAGCCTTCTCCTGTGGCAAACCCTAACTGAAATAGCTGTATTTAAAGTGGGGTAGGATGTCTTTCATCTCCCAGAATAAAGACTGCAGGAGCGGTGTGACCCAGCCCAGCACCATGGCTGATTTAAAAGCACCTTTGATCTCACCAACCTTTCCCTGCTCTCCTGTCAAATAATTAGCCAGTAGCTCCATTTCTACCTTGTAGATTTTTTTCCACTGTAGCAGACACCCTTTGGGCAGTGAGCCATGTGGAGCATGTCAATGCTGACCACAGGTTAGACTTTTGGGACTGTTAGTTTGGGAACATTTTTTTTTTGCTCAAGTTTCTCTCCAGCTGCCTGGGAATGCACCTGGAAAGAGGAATCAGCTGTTGAAAGGTTATTGCAAATTTATTAATAAGTTTGGAGTAATTAAATCCAACATTTCCAGCATGTTATTTATGAGCTGCTTATAAAGGAGTTTAGAGGATTTAGTGGAGGGACACCAACAATAAAAGCAGTGTGCTCCAGGATTGTGTGGCTATTTACAAGAGCAAGCAGTGACAGGAGGAAGAGGGATGGCTTTAAACTGAAAGAGGTTAGATTTAGATTAGATATCATAAAAAAATGGGATACTGTGAGGGTGGTGAGGCACAGGAATGGGTTGCCCTGAGAAGCTGTGGGTGCCCCATTCAGGTTGGATGGAGCTCAGTGCAACCTGGTATAGTGGAAGATATCCCTGCCTGTGGCAAGGGAGTTGAAACAAAATGACCTTTAATGTCCATTCCAAGGCAAATAATTCTGTGACTCTGTGATTGGAGAGAGCTCTTTTAAATGACAGTGTT